GGCTGAAGAATTCTAAATGTTCAAAAACATCGGAATGTGATGTTAGGGTCACCCAAGTTGTTGTTTCTCCAACTTCTCACTTCTCCAAGGCCATATGAGAACAATCTGGCCCTCAAAAGGAAACTTAGTGTCCTGTGTTTGGTCCTTTGTCACAGGCTCACAAACTACATTGCAGGCTACCATTTCTGCTACAGATTTGTTATCAATTTTTTTTCATAATTTGACGTAAATCCTATTCTTCATATTAGTAACCTTTTCTGGCCATCTGCATTCATAGCTATAAATTTCTGCTCAGATTGCTGTCCTTCCAATGAAAATGTTTGACTAAGGGCTTGATTTGCTTTTTGTTATAAGTAAAAAGCTTTTTCTCAAGAAATAAGTAGTCCATTTTTTTCCTTTGGGAAACAAAAATAGCAAAAAATGTAATTTAGCAGAATCTGATAAACTGTTTACATCATTTTGCACTGTATTTTAATCCAGGGAAGATGTGCTTGAATGGAAGATATTTTATTTATTTATTTATTTGATAATTAGTCTAGCAAAAGCTAATCAAAAATCTAAGGTGAAGACAGAGATGGTTAAATGAGGATTTTCATCCAGAAACAATGGCTACCTGAAGTATGTCTTTGCTATAAAAGTACTCTAAGCTGAGCACTGTGGTTCAAACATGAGCATCTATCTGAGGCTGTTTGGATTTTTGTTACTTCCAGCTGAGCCAATCCTCTATTTAGTAAGCCACCCAGGAGATTCCTGAAGTTGGTTCATTATGCCAGACTGAGATCCTTTTAAAGCAGTCTGCTCTCCTGGTCACAAACAGAAATTATGAGAATGTACTTGAGGACAGTTAGGATATGAGGTGTTGGATGCGAGCTAACAAGTGACTTAAGAAAGTGCTGAGATACTGGAGTGAAACATCTGAACACCCAAAAACTTGCTCAGTTATTTCTTTATTTTGCTAGGTAGTCTTCTGCCTGACTCAGTTCCTTAAACATCTGAGGCCATGCTCCTTTCATTGCTCTGTTAAGTGATTTTATCTGAGTATTTTGGTGGTCACATTCATATCTGTGCCCAGGCTACAGACAGGAGCCGCGTGTTTCTTTGTTGTTGTAATGTGATTTGTTCCCAAAGCCTCACATAGACTATGCATGAAAGGGACTCATGGCTCCTGTTTTTCAGACACGTGGTGGTAGTGCAGCTTCTTGTATTCAATAACTTAAAATTCAGTTCATGCTGGAAAACCAGCAGTAAATCAGGTGAGTGCCTACAGTCTTCAATATCTGACTGGAGAGGACAGTAAAAACTGCACAGCAGAGGCACAAGTTAATAAAAACAGGTATTGAATTATTTCCAAGACAGAGATAAGGTTTATTAGCTTGGATATAATGCTGTGAAATGCTTGTTCTTCTGACACTGAATTAGTTTTCACTGAGTAAATTCGGGTTCTTATGGGCATTGTGCAAGTGTATGTGACTGTGCTGTAGGGTTGTTTCTCTCTGGCCTCATCTTCAAGGACCCCCAGTAAGGATTTGAGTGGAAAATGCAGGATGAGCATCTACAAAAATGGACACTATTGGACAAATGTTCTTGCTAAAAAACTAGGAAAAGCTTAATGATTCAGGCCAAAGCTGGTATCTCTAGATGCTCCACTGCAGCTGTGTATTGCCAATTGGATAACATCCCTGTGTTACATCCCTGAGTGCAGCCATGTCTGTCCTCCAAAGCACTTATCTCTGGTATTGAACTACTTGTACCTGGTGCTTCTGAATAACATGACTGTACTTTCAAATATGATGAACTGAAACATTGTGGTTATAGTAGTCTATAACCGTGCTAGGTGTTTTGTACTTTGGTTTAAATTGCCAGGTTTCCCGTGACTCAGTCCATTCAAGTTTTGGCAATTCCAGGTGAACAAACATGCATGCACACACACAGGTCTTCTTTGAGATATTATTAACAAGAATGTAGAGGATTTATTGCAGCATGCCTGCTTGATTGGTAAACAAGTTTGTTCAGGCTGTAGTTTTGAGAACCATCCAACTTTTTTTGTTTACAGAAATGATCTTTCAGCTTCCACTTAGGCAGTAATTTAACATTACTTTCCTTCAGCTATTGATATCTATCATTGTATAAAAATCACTGTGTTTTTACTTGTCTTCCTAAAATACAATACCCTGCTCTACATCCATTCTATATTGAATCAAGTGAGATTCATAAAACCTTTGACCAGGTGCTGACATTGATGGTCAGTTCAGTAGGGTATAAACACATACACATACATACATCCTCCCCCCATCTTGTGATGGGCCTGGCCCATGAAGCATTTGAAACCACAGGTTCAGAAGGCCTTGCAAAACCTTACTACTCCCTTTTTAATGCTCCTCTGATTGCACTGAGCCACTGTTAGCATGAGGAAAACTTGCTGTGTATCCACTGGTAGAGTACACGCATCAGTTGAACTTGCATTTGCTGAGATACTGCAGAAGAGCTACATTGTGGTATGACACCCTCTTCACTGACAGGGCCGGGCTATACCTATCTCTTCCCCAGTCTAGGCTCAGAAGGAGGGACAATGAAGAATGTCTAGGTTTAACCATAGACAGAAACCACGAGTCTGGAGCCTGTGAAGTGTAGAAGTGGTCCCGAGTTACAGAATCATAGAATCATAGAATCAGCTGGGAAGGGACCTCTGAGATCATCAAGTCCAACCCTTGACCCACTACTGCTGTGGTTACTAGACCATGGCACTAGGTTCTGACATTACTGTTGCTCTGTGTTGCCTGTTATAGCATCTACTAATAATTTGCCTGGATTTTAAAAGTAATAGTCCAGGAAAAGGCTGATATCTTGCTCTCACAACATGAACTTGCCTCAGAGTGAAAAATGTGACATTCAGAAACATGGGTAAAGAAGGGTCACTAGACAACAATACCCCAGGGCTTATCTTAATATTTTAAACATGTTATTTCTGGGAGTTCTCTGAGAATTAGGCAGTGGTTGAGGAACTTAAAGTATAGATGGAGGTACTGAGGGAGGTAATAGGGCACCTACCTCACCCTTAGTCCTGAAGGACAGCCTCTCTCCCAGTCTACTGCAATAACTGTGAGTACAGTGGAGATATGACCAGGGTACTAGAGACACCACTACATCTTAGAGAAATTTAGCTTGATTGTAACAAAAGTGATGTGATTATCTTAGAGCTGGGTTGCTACATGTGCAGGGAAGAATTAGATATATTTTAAAATAAAATAATACAATGTTAAAGAGAAACATGACATTAAAAATTGACTTAAAAATAAATCTCTCAAAATTCCACCCTCTGAAATTTATTAAAGAAAATTGAATTACTCTGGAGTCTATATCCTGGTCATCCTGTTGCTAACATCAATTCAATGTTAGCAACAAAGACTGAAGCTAATCATCTGGTTCATTTTGCCCCGTGCTTTTCTGTACTGGGCAGTCATGTTATATATAGCATTTAACACAGATATCAAGCATCACTTTAAAACTGACCACATAGATCTTACCTCTTGGTTCTGGAAAAAGGCTCTCCTGGAGCATTACTGCTTAGCAGCAGCTGTCACCTTCTAATTTCCAGTTTTCAGTCCTGAGGAGTTTACTTGCCTTTGTTCTTGAATCAAATGTATCCTCTTTGCTTATAGTAGCCATGTAATGCCTTCCACAATCTGCAGTCCTCCACAGGGACACACCGTTCCTTCTTGTAGCCCTTCTCTGCACCTATTTCAGTTGGCTTCATCTGCATAAGAGTAGTTGACCCAAATTGTGCAGAGCTGTATTGGGTTTGCATGACCAGGTTTTGGTAGTGAGGAGCTACAGGAGGGCCTTCTGTGAGAGATTGCCAGAAGCTTCCCTTGTCTCCAACACAGCCAATGCCAGACGGCTCCAGGATGGACCCATCATTGGCCACAGCTGAGCCCCTTAGTGACAGTGGTAGTGCCTCTGGGATAATGGATTTAAAAACGAGGGGTTGGGGAGGGTGGGGAACTGCTGTGGAAACAGCAGCCAAAGAGAAGAGTGAGAACATGTGAGAGAAACAGCCCTGCAGACACAAAGGTCAGTGAAAACGGAGCAGGAGAAGATTCTCTAGATGCCAGAGTAGAGATTCCCCTGCAACACATAGAGGTCCATGGTGGAGCTATCTGCCTGCTGCCCCTAGAGAACCTCATGCCAGAGCAGGTGAGTGCCCAAAGGAGACTGTGACCCTGTGCGAAACCTGTGCTGAAGAAGGCTCCTGGCAGGACCCATGGCCCAATAGAGAGAAGAGCCCATGCTGGAGCAGGTTTGCTGACAGGACTTGTGACCCCATACAGGACCACACTGGAGCAATCTGTTCCTGAAGGACAGCACCTCATGGAAGAGACCCCACACTGGAGCAGGGGAAGAGTATGAGAAGTCCTTTCCCTGAGAAGGAAGGAGCAGCAGAGACAACCTGTGATGAACTGACTGCAGTCCCTATTTCCCATCCCCCTGCACCACTGTGGGGCAAGCAGGTAGAGAATTCAGGAGTAAAGTTAAGCCTGGGCTGGGGGGAAGGTGATTTTAAAATTTTGTTTTACTTCTCATTATTCACTCTGATTTGATTGGTAATAAATTATTTTTCCCCAAGTCAAGACTGTTTTCTCTGTCACAGTAAATGCTGAATGATGTCTCTTTCTCCTTATCTAGACCCATGAGCCTTTTGTAATATTTCTTCTCCCCTGTCCAGCTGAGGAGGGGAGTGACAGAGCGACTTTGGCGGGCACCTGATATCCAGCCAGGGTCAGCCCACCACAAGAGTATCACTGTATTTATATTTAGGCATTGGTAGCTGGTGACAGAGACTAAGAAATAGCAATTTGCTATCTAATATAACTTTTATTCAAACTATTTATAGCAATAACATTTATTTCTTACTATTATTCTGAAGTGAAAATGCTCCATTTCAGATTTGACTGTAGTGTATTTACTGCAGAAGAAATAAGTAATTCAGTTGGTATTTCTAAAAATATAATTAGTTGATGAGTCAGAGAAGAATTTCATTTTCATAAATGTTAGGGCTGGAAGACTGGGTTTATCATGATCAGCGTGTCTGACCTGTGACTGCGTCATGTCTTAGGAGTCTGCCTGGTAATTCTTGCGTCAGTTTGTAATTAAGCTGGAATACTGTTCGGACAAGACTGAATAAAGGGCCCAAACCACATTCTTGCAATGTACTGAATGTTATTTCACACAAACAAACAAAAGGTACACCCCACAGACAAGCCTGAATATGGTGATTCATCATTTTAATTAAAAAATTGAGGACTATTAACATTTACTAATAGGCTAATCTCTGATAACTCAGTGCAAATTTTTAGAACATCATACATAACCATGAACCAATAAGTGTGTGTATATGTATATGTATATATCTGTCTATATACATAATGCAATAAAACATATTTCTATTTATGGGAGTCTAAGCCTTACCAAGAACTTGTATTAGCCATGTGAGATTAGTAAATAGAAAAGAAAGCAGCTGGGATAAAATGAAAAGGCATAAACTCATCAAAATCTAGAATGCAATAAAAACCATGGAAGAGGAAACTGAAAACCAAAAATGAACACCACATAGAGCAAAAGATAATATTTTATTGACTGGAAAACAGATTGCTATGTACTTGTTGGTCAGTCGTTATCTGTACTGATCTTATGCCACTGCAGTTCAACCTGGGCTTAGCTATGCACACATATTCTTTTTTTTTGTCTTTTTTTTTCAGTCTCCTATCTAAAGTAATGGCTGTCTTCACTATGAATAAAGGCCACTCAAGTCAGCCAAAAAATTCTATGCACTTAAGGTCAGAGTCTAAAGAAGAGTGACTTAAATACATGCTAGATGAAGACTCAGTGCTGAACAGTGCAGAACCTACTATTCTTAACATCACTGCTCCATTCACAATGGCCCAGTACATGAACCAGGCCACTGTAACATACAGTATGGAAAAAGGAAGAAGATATATGTTTGTAACGCAGCTCTGGATGACCTTTAATAATAGACAATTGAGTGCTGAAGCTTAGCAAGCAGATAGAACCTTCTCGAAGCCAGCTACCTAGAAACCAGGACCTTGTACTGCAAGCAAGAACTGCCTAGCTTGCAATGACAACATTACTAATTCTTGACACACTATTGGCAACTGCATGTGGCACATGGTAACATGAATTGAGTACTGGTTCTGGAGAGCTTATAGCTTGTTGTCCACAAGCAGGCATTTACAAGAAAAAAGATGGACTCTGAATCAAAGACCTAGCAGAATTGAAATGGTAAAGCCATTAACAGGGCTTTGATCGCTGTCAAAGAAGCTTTGAAGGGACAAGGTTAAAGGGACAAATGTGAGTGTGCTCTTGTGTCTGCTAATTAAAATATACACTTTATGCATGTATTTGAAGGTCTAGCGAAGACAATAGAGAAAGAGTCCTACGGTATATTAGCTATGGGAAAATGTACATTAGCACTATTCAATCTTGGGCAATTCTCACCTCTTTTTTCAAAATATTGAAAAACTTATATTGAATAACTTATTTATGTTCTAGAGCAACTATGTCTGAAAAATTAAGCACAGTTACCCAGTTTTGGGAAAGGACCTGTGTTGTAGTGTTTTGAATGCCTGAAGACTATGTTTTTGAGGAGCAATCGCAATCCCAGTAAGAGGAGGAAAGTGACCTTTTTTCCCCTTTATCTAGCCCTGGAAGGAGCATCTCTGACTCAGTGGCCCTCTGTGTGGAAGTATCTCCTCCTCACAGTTTCTGCCTGCTTTGTCAGCATCTTTTTGGCCTAAAGTGTGGACGAATATAATATTTATGAGTTGTTCTCATCGATTTTATGATCCAATAGAAAAATGTACGTGCCTAGCTCTCCATGCCCAAGTCTGCATCCGTAAAACAATGTTAATACCTCATCAATATTCATATACCATACAGACTTTTCACAATCATTGGTTTCATGGGAGATGAAAGGTAAATTTTTAAGCTTCTAACAGCAGAGTGCAGTGTGTTACAAGGAAAACATAATGTAGTTAGATTTAAAATATATGTGAATCTTTTCTGCATAATTTTCTTAACCAGTATAGGGCTGTTTAAATTTTTTTATAAGCAGTTATAGATATGATAGAATTAAACTGCTGAGGGAAAGTTACTTGAATGACTAAATAACTGTTACAACTTTTATGTGGTCTTCTTACAGCAGAGTAATGAACTGTGTTGTTACAGAGTGAGAATAATGCAGCTGTACAGCTTTCCACAGAACTACGAAGCAGAGGCACATTCATGGCAAAGGATGTCATCCTGCCGAGTGAGGAATTCCCTGCTCACCAGTGAGACAGAGCATTTTGCACAGTTAAAGCATTCCCCGTGCCACTGACGCTCTTCAAATGAGATATATTTGGCACTTCCGAGAGCTGAAATAGATTATGAAAAAGATGTGAATCCAGTATTTCTGAACATGGTTCAGAAATGTAACAGATTGCTTTCTGATGTGTGATCAGGTTGTCATGCATACAATGAACAAACAAATGAACAAAAATTCATAGTCTGAAATATTCTTTGTTGACTGAATTGAAAAAAAACCCATAACTTTAAAATTAAATACAGTGAGAAGTATTGTAAGTAAAGCCACAAGTCACTTGCTTGCTTGCTTGCTCATAATGCTTCCATTATGAGCTCTGAACACAATGGTTTTATCAGAATGTTCGCTCAGATTTGCTGATCTTCCCAACAAACTCTCATGAAAATTATTTGCAATATGCTTATACATATAGTTTCTATACAACATTTAATGAAATTTATAATTTCCACCTAAGTTTCTTCAAGATGGAGTCTTTTGGAAATTACCAGATCATGGAATTCCTAACACAAGTATCTGAAATAAAATCTCAAGGTTTGTGGGAATTTGAAAGTTTTTGATTTGTTAGTTGTTGTTGTTTTGTGTTTGTTTGGATTTTTTTTGTAAAACCATGCACATTTGATTGGGTAATCATCATTTTCTTTGTCCACTGACATATGTAGCATGTACCTGTAAGAATCAGGCAGTATTTTTTTCAACAGTTTAGTCCACACATAATAGAATTACAATGCAGAACACCAGTAAATCCTCTCAGAAAACTTCAGCAGTCATAGACTAGTGACATATATGTCTAATTATAAATCATCTAAGTACAAAAGGATGCATGTGATAGAGCTTTGTTGCATTTGGCAAGCTTTCTAATTTGACAGGTGTGCCTTACCAGCAGGCAATTAATCTGTGTTCAGCTTGATCACATTTGCATTTAAAAACAAAACTGAAGAAATTACAGACATGAGGGACTTGTGCGTACTGTCCTGGGAAGAGCAAAAAAAAAGCCTTTTCTTATATTTTTAAGGAGGAATTTTAGTGCAGAATCAAATCAAATGATGGAGGAACTCCTTTCGGCACATAAAACGACTCCTCGGCAGTTAGGGAACATGTGTAATCAGCATGTCCTAGCAAGATATATTACATGTGATATAGAGTGTGTCTCTCTAGTAGTGAACTCCTTCAGTCTTTCATTGTGATGAGACTATTTTTTAATGGTGTTTTCTAAAGTAAAGCTTTTGGAAGAGACTGATGATTCATCACTGTCTAGTCCCCTTTAAAAGATGAGACTCACCTGTAACAGGTTTCTTGCAAGCAGCACACTTCTTAGCATACAATTTGCTGAAACAGTCCACACAGTATGGGTACTCATCTTTGGAAATAAACCTTTGTCCATACAGCTGGGTTTTACACCCAGCACAAACAAAACATTCTTTATGCCAAGGCTGGTCATGGCAGGTCACGCCTCCAGAAGTTATTACCTAATGTATTGACAAAGAAGGATAGAGCAATGAAACAAAGGTGTGAATCAGGAAGGATTGTCCCATCCTTCATAAGTAATTCCACTTGTTTTCTCTCTTCCCATATGCACAAGAGGTGAGACTGTGGTCACATCAACTGTTTTTCATCTGTATTTTCAATTTGACTAACTGCAGTTGAGCTCAATGAGCTAGTGGTTTGTTTTTCAATTTTCTATCACAATATAGCCTCCAAATTTGTAATAATCTATTCTATAAAGATGAGTTGTAAGGTAGTGTTTCTACTGTCAAATCACATGCATGACAGCAAATGAATGAATGAATGAATGAATACAGTTGGAACAGGAGGAGAAAAAGTTGGAGAAACTTAAGTAGAAATAGCGCTATCATCAAATTTCCCTGGGGAATAGAGTTTCAGGGAAATAAAGAATAATACTGCATCATGTCAAACAATAAAAAGACTTAAATAGTTCCTGACCCCTTTAACATTCCAGTTTTGGGCTATTCCAAAGTCACGTTTGCTTTTCCATTAAAATCTAAAAATCACTGGCACAAAATACAAGGTTTCAGTTTGGCAATTAAATCACTTTGGACTCAATTCTCATTTATGGGAACTGATGCAAGTTTAAGAAGTTTCAGCTATTATACAGAGGGACACTTTGCATTCCTAGAATTTTTAAGAAGCAAATCTTGATTATTTCACATTGGTGCTGCTAACCTCAATGCCTCTAATAAACATCAAGCATAATTACTATAATTGCCATGTGATCATTTAATACAAATTAAAGGCTAGATGTAGAGACATGAAAATATATAAAAGTACTTTCAAAAGTTTAACTACGGAAGAAAAAAAAACAAGTTTACAGGTAAACATTAAATAACTGCATAACTTATAAGTTATTTGATGAAGTGAAAAAAAAAATTTGTTTTGCTTCCAGAGTGATAGAGGTACTAAAGAATAAGTTAAATTCTGCCATAAAAACCAGCTTAAAACAGTTCCCCAGAAAACAGTATCACGTTAGAATAGTATGATGAATAATATGATACTTTGAGTTTTTTTCATCAAGTAGAGACAATTTTAAAACGTGACAAATCAAGGGAGGGAAGAACTGATTTATTTGTACTTGGGGGAAAAAAGAAAAACTCATTTGAAATCAAGCTTTCTGGTAGCCACAGGTGTCATGTATTGAAGCAGTGGGACTCCTGACTACTGTTATAACAGTTGAATGTTACTTGAGCTGATAATTGCCTGATACATTTCAAGGAAAAAAAAGACAAGACTGTGGATGCCTTGCTCAGCTTAGGTGACTTGTACATGTGAATATATGCATAAAAATGACGGAAAGAGAGGCAAGTTTGCCAAGGCAAAAGGAAAGAAGGCTTTTACATAACTTTCTGTTTAACCTTTGCTAAAAATCACAATCAGTAACAAAAGAAGCCTAAAGCATTTGTTTTGGTCAATAAGTGTATTTCAAAGATAATCAGTCTTAGATTAATATTAACCAGAGCGGGCAGCTGACACTGTTGCAGTTGGCTTTCAGTGCCCAATGTCAAAAGGAAGACTCTGCTCTTATTCTTAGTTCACCAGATGTTTTATATGACCCAGCCCTTTCCACCATGTCTCATTAGGACAGTTTTTACATTACATGTTTAATTACCTTTTTGCAAGAGTAACAATGGTGAGCAAATTGCTTCTCAAAGCAGGGCACGCAGTAATTCTCATTGTCTTTGGTGATTAATGGTTTTGTTCCCAATGGTTGCTGACAATACCGGCAAACAAAACAGGATTCATGCCAGGAACTCCCCTTAAATTCCATTTTACGGGAACCTGAAAAAACCCAAAGTGAACAATTTCCCCCGATACAGCCTTGTAGTATAAGTTTTAAATGTTGAGAATACTCTTGTTTTCAACCTTCGATCTTAGTAGCAGGTTACCCAAGAAAGCACTTATCTTAAATTTAATAGAGCTTCTAAGAATGTACTTGAAATTTCAAGGACATATTCAGATCCATACAATCACCTGGCAAAAGATGTGCTACAATGCCTAAGCTGTGATTTCGAGTCTGTCCTTATATGAATCTTTTGGGGTTTTTTCTTTGTGATTATGCTTCAGTTACTCAGATTTTCTCTCAAGCCAGCCAACTCAGTGATAATGTTCAGATTCACAGCACTTTTATAAATTAGAAATTAATTTCTTGGATGCTTACTTCATCTATTATTGTCTTGTCTTTTGTCTTCCTTAACTAAGGCTCCTTCAATTATAAATGCATTATTTATCTTAATCAGCTTAAACTGGCAAGTGTTTAAAAGTAAATATTTTTTCTGTGATGCAGTGCATTACACGGCCTCTTCTTATAGCTCATAATTTCATCCTAGATCAACAGTTTTTTTATCATGTTTAACTAGATGCTTTTGATACAGCTCAAGGACAGAAAGTAGTTCAGCTAAATACCTGTCAGAGGAGTTTCAGAGATTTTATCTCTGTGTACAGGTGTCCTGTACACCTTGAGGTAGAAGCGTAAGTCTAAGATACGCACAGACAACTGAGAACGAATTATCCAGTGAATCTCCATCATAACTTCCTTCCCCATAGGTAGCATCAGACTGCTAAGACAGGTGCAAGGTAATTTACCATCTTTTCCACATGAAGAAGAGAATTGCCAGTATAACAGATTAATCCCACATTACCTGTTTCCTGGACTGTGGGGCTAGTGGAGAAACTACTGGTTGTATTCAAACAGAAAAGGTTTATAGCTTCATCCCAGCGATTCCAGTGATCAGAAGGCTAACTTTACTGTCTTTGCCTACTACATCTTTTCAACTCAGAGCTAGTGAGCTGAAGGAAGTTAATGATACAGAGACGGGCTGGTGTTCCCATGCCCCTTCAGTTCTCTGTTTGCACTGTTACCTTCAGGCACTTGCTGCAAGGATTTATACTCCCAGACTCTGGGGCAATACCTGAGACATGAATATACACCAGAAGACAATTATGCAAACCTGAGTAAATTCTGGTACTATTCTCATCACATCTAGCAAGGTGTGCCTATTTGACAACATTTTTGTAAACTATATACCATTTATACAGTATATAGTCTTTAAACTGAACACAACTATATTGCTACAACATTTATTTCCTCTAATACAGCTTTTACCTGTCATGAAGAGGAAATAAACTGTAAAATTACAAATCAGTGTTACAGGTTGAACATGACATCAATAACCTAGTATTTATACTAAGACAACAATTCTGCACAGCCTGGACCTTATTGTTTGGTATTAGATCTACTGAAAGAGAAAATTCCTGTGTCACTGCCAAATTTACTGATATCCTTCACCAAAAATTCCCAAGCTAGTAGTCATGAGTCCATAGCAGATAATTTGCAGCTGGTATTTAGAGTTATATGCAGGATCTGTAAAATGTTTTGACCATTGAGGGTAGTTATCTGTTCTGAAAGTTGAGTACTTGCTTGCCTAAGCAAGCAGCTTCATTTTTCCACATTCAGTGCTATGGCTTCTCCTAGGTGCCTCTGAAGAGGCGTCTTTTGGGCAATCTCTCTGCTGTATGAGCTTTACTGGTGTGGTAGCAATGAAAGGCCTAGAGGATGTCCTGAACAAACATGATCACAAACTGAGAGGCAGTTTAGTGGAAAGCGTAGAATTTTCAAGTTTGCTGATGGCAGGAAGTAAACTTACTGTAAACACAAATGTATTCTTTTTAGCAAAAATGCTGATAATGATTTGAAGGCAGATTGTCATGTTTTGGCAGTTTAAACAAAAATATTTCTGAATGAAAGGAATGGTATAAAGAACATAAGCTCAAGGTCTGGTTAATGTGATAGACAAACATGCAGATGTCCTGTCTCATCAGTCACTCCTGCTCACAATAGCTCAGTTTATCTACCCACTCTCACAGAGGGATATGCTTCCTAAGAACTACAACAGAATCAAGGACATAACATGAACTTGTTTTACCCAGTCTTGAACTCTTGATATTTTTTATAAGGATTCATCAGATCTGTCAGTGCCAGATCAGAGGTATCTGCCTGCCCTCTCCTCACTACCATGAGCGTACTACACAGAAAGGAGGAGTAGTCATCTCAAAGCTGTACTGAAAATCAAGGACCTTGTAGCTTGCTTTTCCAAGAAAGTGCTCAAAATTAAAAATGCAGCTCTATTTTTCACAGGAGGGTCCCTGTTGTCTTACCAGGCATAATAGTCTTCTGGCAGTGGAAACACTTAGATGAATACTCATCAGAGTAGCATTCCGTACACAGCAAGACCTCGTCCTTGGCAGCAAACGGTTTCTCCACCAGCGAGCGACTGCACTTGGCACACTTGAAGCACCTCTCATGCCAGTGGCGGCCTTTGTAGGCCAGATCCTTGGAGAAAGTAAGTTCATGTTAGTGAAAACATTTCTTCACAGTGTTTTTATCCTTCAGCTCCTCACAGAATTAAAATACAAAATGGAGAGCACTGCAGTGGTGACTTGACAAGATGATAGGTGAATCCAGCCAGGGGTGTGCTCAGGAATGATTTAAGTACTCAATGTCACGCTGTTTTGTAGATCTCTTGCAGAGGCCATTAAGAGCTGCTCTAGCAGATACAATGGTCCTTCCTTCCTTATGTAACATCAGAGAGACATTTTTATGGGAAGAATCATTTTATATTTTACAGTTGGCTTTCAAGGGGAAACAAGTTATAAACATTTTTAATATGCACAGACCACCTGACAAGAAGTCCATTCTCTATAGAATTTGAAATGAACCTCATGTATTTTCAATGTTACTTCTTTTTTTCTTCCAGCTGACACTGCATAACACTAAAAGAAAGATCACATTATTGCATTAAAAAAAATAATTAAAATCTCATTGAGAACAAAGTGATTATTAGGAAGATTTAAAAAAATCACTGCTTTTGTTTACACCTGATATAAATCCTCCTGAAAACTGAGTAGAAAAATGTTTATTTAAGGCTCAGCAGGCTTAGGAAATGAAAGAGCTAACAGTGTATGTATGAGACCTTGACTAAGAATTCAAAAAAAGACCAAACAGCATATATAATTTTTCCAAGGTTAAAAAAACAAGGCAAAACCAAACCTCAGCCCTCCTCTCCCAAACATAAACCAGCCTCTTCCAGATCTACTTTATAAGTAAGAAGCACAAAAGGGCACAAATCCAATCTCATTGTTCTCCTTTGTCAAGTCCCCACCTTTTAAAGTGCTAAAAATGAAAGAAATACCATGCTTCATTTCAGGAGGTGCTGAGCACTTAATATTTTAATTTGTTTTAGTTAGACTCTGAACCTTGCTGGAAGAAGGCTGTCAGCCCAGACCAGCCTGAGGCAAAGACTGGGTAGGAAGGAGGGGAAGAAAGCCAAGCTCTAACACCTTGGCAGAGGTGGGACATTAGCTGTAGATTTCTGGGGGCCATTTTTCTAGATTACTCTAACCTGTTGCACTCCTTTCTTGTCTCCCCTGCTTTTTTCTCACATTTTTTCCCTTCCACTCAGTCCAAATACACAACTTTTTGTGTATGATCTTTGATAATAGTAATCCTGTCATTAACTTTCAATTTTAAAAGTGAAATTATTGAGTTGAAAGCATATGTTTCCCAGGTGAACCTGACTGGTGCTACGTGTTCAGTTTTGCTGTTGGAAAAATGCTGATGAGAGTTTGAGGAGTGTCTTAATCCAAGCCAGCATTTTCCTTGCATGATTCCTGTACTCAGACAATGTGCTTTGAAGTGCTTTGGCTGGGGAAACCTACCAAGAGACTTATTTTAGTAACTTTCACCGTTTATTTCAAAAGAATGGAGGCAAAAGGAGCATGGAGAGAAGGTGAACACTGCACACTAAAACTGGGAAGGCAAAGGCTTTTTGCTAGGTTTCATCTGAACTTAAAATTTAAAGTCAAGTATATGTGCTTTAAATTGAAACATGGGGTACTGGAAACCCCTGTCAAAGACCAGAGAGGAATTTGTATTATTAATTAATATTGTAAGGAAAAGGAAAGTTGAAAGGAAAGCCAAGGTCAGAAACATTGCCACTAACATGCCATCTGTGAGATGAGCAAAGTAAGCATGGAATTAAGCAAAAATTAAAAAATACTTCATTTCCAAAACCACATGGAATGATATGTAAATTATAAACATGTTGTCTTTTCAGCTTGGCACCTGCATGTCAAAATCTACAGTAAAAGTAATTTATTCAATATACAAAATATTTTTTCAGTGGACATTTCTCAGAAATTCCAAAGTTTCATTCAACCTGATACATTGAATTACATCAGCACCGTATCATCTCTCCAGTACTGTGCAGCTTCTGCAGCCAGTGTGTGACTGGAGGTGAAGTCTAGTTGTGGTCCACACACACAGCCTTGCTGTATGCTTGAGATATACTTATATATATATATATATATCAGATTTCCTAATCTTTGGTCCCAGAGCTTTCCTATTCTGGGAAAATAGCACTGCTCCTGTCTGCTGTGTGTGGATGTACAGCCACCGTGCTTAGGTCTCCTCAGCAACACAGGGATATGCAAAGTATTGGATATAGAATCTGCCATTAAAGAAATTGGATTTGTGTGTAATTTAACAAAGAAGAAGAATCGAAAGCTAGATGTTTACCTTGGAATTGCACTCAATAGGTTGCTTGCACTCTTCACAGGGGTTGGCATACAGGCTGTCATAACATGCAACACAATAAGCGTTTTCATCTCTCAATGCATATTTCCTTCCACGAAGAGACTGCAGGCAGTAATGGCAGTCTGTGTGACTGCTGGTCATTCTGTTGGGGCTCTCCACGTGATCTGGAAAGATGGACAAATCATGTAATTCAGTGGATGGCCATTTGCTTGGTCAAATAATAAGTAATGCTGCATTACCTGTGAAAGTTAGACAGGCATTTTTTGGTCATTTGCAGTACCCTAGATTTCTTAATGCTGGGTCATTCTATAATAAAATGGTAGCCTTTAACAATGTATTGTATTGTATTACCAACATGATGGGGAACAAGAGGACTGCTTCAGCTTATTCTAGTCGTGCTAACACTATTTCAGGTCAGACACCTGTAAATGAAGCCATCTTCACATTCTCTGTGTACAGCTACTGGTATTATGAGCATTATAAATTGGATTTTAAGACATGGTTTATCCAGAAATCAGGTAATGGACATAGAAGCAATGATCCAAAAATGAAACCAACTGCAGAGTTATAAAAAGGCCAAAGAGAAGGGGCAAGTACTTTATGGTGTTTTCCTGACTTTCTCTTGATATTCCTGTCTTCTGTTCATTCCTTCCTTTTCAAAATATCCCCACATCTACCTAACTGAACAGAAGGAAGACAAGGGACTCCAGGATATATGACTGTTTTTCGCATTATCCCAACTGTGCTGCTAATATTTGGTGGCAATGTAAGGTCACACAAATACCCGTGGACAGCAAAAGAGTAAAATATAAAGAGAAATAAACTAAATCATAAGTCAAACAAAATCATAACTCAGAGAAAATTTCCCTTGTTGTTATTGGAAAAGATTGTTTTTTTCTTACATATTTCTTTATTGCTGGGTTCCATGTTGGCAGTACCAAAATAATGTGAGTTAGTTTATATTTCTGTGCCAAACAAGTGCAGGAAATACCACAAATCTATTGAGAGCCAGTTGTACAAATTTCCCATCCTTCAGTTTTTCAGGCTAAAGAGGCTTGGATAAGTATCCAAACCTCAGCTGCTTATAGATCTGCAATGCTGAATGTTTTAAGGATTGTGGAGATGAAGACTTATTTCAGTCTTCTTGTTGCTGATTGGATCATCAGCACTTTGCTAAAATTGGGTCTTGATTCCTGGAAATGAAGGAAGAAGAAACCAGAAAGTTCACAGTGAAGCAAACCCAAAAACATCTGCTGGACTCGTTGGATTGCACTCTTTGTTAAAATCACTGGATGTAGCTGGTTGCCGGCAGCACCAGCAACCACGAATTTTAGAGGAGTTGAAAACAATTGGGGAAGATCTCCTGAAGTATTTACATATCAGTGACTTCGGGCAGCTGAAATTTTTGCACTTTGAATAACAGTGCTAATTTGTTTATTTTAACCAGATGCAAAGCCTAAGAGTAAGGAAGAGAAGCATGTGGAGGACAAGATTTGAGGGAGTGCTTAGCTATGACAGAGCTTACCCCTAGTCCACTTAAGAGTTATGCCCTCCTACTTTTTACACACTCACTGCCTGGCTTATACCCACAGTTGAATTTTAAAAAGGCATTTTATGGGTTTCTGTTTCATAAAATCTAAATTGAAATGGTTGTTCAAACTGTGAGAAAAGAACAACTACTGCAGGTCTCCACCAGCACCAATGCATAAGGTCAGGCATTGACTGACCTATTCTGGGAGATGTAGTGGTAAAATGGTGGAAAGGGGTAGGGAGGGAGGCTATTATACTTGTTTCAGACCAAAAGTAATGACTTGATTGTTTGGTACAAGCTATGGAAAACTTGTTGCTCCTGTAAATTGAAAATTTTTAACATTTAATTGACTTACTGTATTTTTTATTGCCCTTAATATTTTTGCCAACCAAGATAGGGTATAGTAAGGAAATAATCTGTAACTCAGATGAGTGGGAAACATGCTTGTTTAAAAATATTTCAGATGTGTTTTATGTGATATCCTTGGAATAATAGTATACTAGTGTTTGAATCTGTAATACCTCAGGAACTTCTGAATTTGTAATATAATTACCCTCCTAAAACCCTATATGGATATGGGAGCAAGGTGCTATTACTTCTGTTATACAGATGACAGTGGTTGCTTGAGAATTTTAAAAAAGTACCCCCAAGACCAGAGGCAAAGCCTGAGGATGTCCTTGGGTAAAATGTCCTCTAGTAAAATGTTTGAGTTGCCCAAGGCTTCGCTTCAGAAAAAGTCTTCAAAGTTTGATCATGATGATATAAGATCATGTTTGGGAATGAAGCAGTGACGGTGTGAAAAAGAATGAAGATTTTTGCAAATCTTTTAGCAAAGGTCTAAGTAGCCTTTGAGAAGTGCTTTTACCATTAGTTAATGCAATAAAAAAAGCGAATCTCATCTCTCCCAGCACCACTTAGCCTTGCTCCAATAAACAAGTAATGATACGAGCACCACGTAGTTGAGTAGAATGTTTTTCTTGTGCTTTGATCCTAATCTCTAGAGAAATATGTTTACTTTAAGTTTGCTGGAAGCTAGACTCTGTGTTTTGAAGGTCAGTTAAGAAATCTCTGGAGATCTGATGCTATTCACTCTCATGGAATGAAACGCTGACTCCAGCATTCCAGCTGCTAACTTGTGTCCTAGGCACAAGGAAAGATTGCCGTGTCTTCATTCCTTGGGAAAAGATGATTTTGTTATTTAAATTGGAACAAAGCTAAATACTGTTGATTTTTATGTACCTAGTAGGCATGGATACATGATATCATTTGTAGTGTTAGAATATTCCAAGGAGGCGCAGAGGGATGTTGTCAAGGACATGAGGATATTGTAACTGGGGTCCCTGGGGTCAAATTCAGAGAATGCAGCAGTCTCATGGTACGAATAATAAAACAGATGAAAATAAAACAACAGAGCTGGCTAGTCAGCCTGCTGTTATAGCAGATTAATATAGACTCTAGCTACAACAAATAGAACAGGGACTTTCTGTAGAGTCAAATTATTTCCTATAAAATGCAGAGCACTAGAAGACTTCCAGTGAAGAAAGCCATAAGAAAATGGCTGTGAAGTTATGAATCCTGATAAATACAGAGTCATCAAGAAAAGAATGCTTATTTTATCACTGGAGCTAAAAAGCACAGCCACAATATTAATATATCTCAATAATTTATCTTGATGTTTTCTAGAAATACATGTTGATCCCCCTTATGTTATATAAGTATAAAAAGCCCAGAAACATTAATACTACTTAGATGGGACTTAATAAATACATCTGCTTGCAGATATATACATACAGGTAAAATATTACATCTTTCACTTCATGACAATTCTAATGGATTATTTCCCAAACTAAATATACCTGCCATTGAACTTCACCATCTTTTTATTTAAGAACATATAATAATTGGAATAAGCCTCCTTATTAGAGAGGTAGAAAGAAAGAAAAATGATGGCAAAATAAATCCTTGGAACAAGACTGAAGGATATAAAAAACCCAATTTGATCTATTATGAGGAGGACACTCCTGCGAGCCACCCAAGGTACTTGTTCATTTTCAGGTAAGTACAGGATTTTACCTTCTAACATGACTTTGATTATTTGCATGAACTTGCTAACTTCATTTTTGCACCTTTTTTTTTGTGAGAACTGCTGAACAATTCGTCACATACATTTGCAGACATTAAGGATGCTATAATTTATATGTTTCTAAAATTGGCTAGAGAAGCAGTAGGAACTAGGGGCATATATTACAAATCAAGGCAATTATCTACAGGAAAGCAGAGACACAGATGCTAACTTTGAACAAGCTGTTTTATCTCTGTGGCACAGCATAGGTTCTAGAAGCTTCTGAGTGAGTGCAGCGCTCTCACTGATGACATTCTCCTTGAAGCAGCCAAGATGGATGCCAACCAGGATGCTGCTGTAACAATCTGACTATATTGCTTCAAGGTTCACAAGTGAGACCATTTTGGTTGGCTGTCTAGGGAAAGCAGGTAATTTAGAGGTTGATCTGGTAATTTGTACTGAATTGTACTCTGTTTACACACCCCATGACTACAAGCAAAAAGGACAAGTGTTGTGGCTTAGCTAGGGGATCAAGCATCTCAGGAATTCCATAATTTTCTCCTTAATTGGTATTGCCTTCTGCTTTGTTTACACCATGCAAACTCAAATGTTGGTGTAGTCATCTAAATAATTTCTTTTACTTTTTTCTGATATAATTCTTACCCACATTTTTTGCAGGTTTTCACATAGTGTGGTAAAGCCAGTTTTCTCCTGTGCTCATTATGGAACTCATTCCTTTCTGACTGCTGTCAGATTTATGGAATAAAATGAAGTGATGAAATACTTCAGCTGTGCATTGGTGTACCTTGTAATGTAAAATCCTGTCAGTATTCTCAGTCATACTTCCCATATTAAACCATAAAACAGGCTTAAGGATTGCATCTGGTACAAAAGGGCCATGTGATAAAGTCTATCCAAACTAACTGATGAGTTAGATACTTAGAAGATATTTAGACAGTTTAACATTGATTAGCTTCAACTGCCTGAGTTCCAAAAGCAAAGCAACCATAAGCCCAAGATGTGGATGAGAAGTCATTAGTGAATCCCGGGTACAATATTATAAGAGACAATTTAGAATAATGTTGTTAGTGATGTACCCAGGGGCTGACACTGGGACCAATACTGTTCAACATCTTCATTAATGACTTGGAGATGGGACAGAGTCATGCCACAGAGTCAGGCCACAGCAAACTGGCAGATGACACCAAACTGAGAGGAGTGGCTGATATACCATATGGGTATGCTCTCTTCCAGAGGGACCTTGCCAGGCCAGAGAAGTGGGGTGAGAGGAGTCTCACCTTGCAAGGGGAGCTGCAAGATGATTCTGTGATGGACCACAGAAATGTGTATCACTGCTGAATGACAAAAGAGAGGGGATGAAAAAAACCCCTCAGTATTCCCTAATGGGTGTTTGAGCAGGAGTCAGCTCATTCCCATAACAACAAAACAGATTTTGTGGATGCCTTATTGTGAGTCCCTATCAAAGCTAGATGTGCACATAGTCTAAACACATGAGAAATGCTATTGCTGTCAGCTGAAACAATTACATACTTGAAGCTGAATGCATGCTG